TGTAGGTTTCTCTGGATGATCCAAATACTATATCATCAACATAGATTTGTGCTATGATGATGTCACTTTTGTAGTGTTTGACAAATAATGTTTTGTCAACGCTTCCTCTATTGTACCCTTTTGAGAGTAGGAATTGTGTTAACCTTTCATACCAAGCCCGTGGAGCTTGTTTTAAACCATATAAGGCTCTCTTTAGTCTATAGACATGGTTAGGATGGAATGGATCTTCAAACCCTTTGGGTTGGGATATGTACACTTCCTCTTTTATATATCCATTCAGGAATGCTGTTTTCACGTCCATTTGGTAAAGTTTGATTTTTAGGATGCATGCTACGGCGAGGAGAAGGCGTATGGATTCTATCCTAGCAACTGGGGCAAAGGTTTCTTCAAAGTCGATTCCTTCTTCTTGAGTGTATCCTTGTGCTACAAGTCGGGCTTTATTTCTCACTATATTTTCCCTTTCATCAGTTTTATTTTTGTAGATTTTTTGTTCCTATGATGTTAGAGTTGTCTGGTGCAGGGAGAAGTTCCCATACTTCATTTCTTTCAAATTGTTGTAGCTCTTCTTGCATGGCTTCGGTCCAGTATTCGTCAAGGAGGGCCTGCTCGATGTTTTTTGGTTCTATCTTTGAAGTGTAGCATGAATCTCCTTCAGACATTTTGAGGTAATCTCTTTTCTTTCCTCTTGTCCGTATTCCCTGATTTGGGTCACCGATGATATTTTCTGTAGGATGATTCTTCTGGATTTTAGTGTTCTTGTTGATGGGTGCTTCATCGATATTTTCTTCATCATCTTCTGTTGGTTTTCCAGAATTATCATCTTGTTCTGACTCTATAGGTGGTGTTGAAACTTCTGTTTCAACACTTATGGTTTGCTCATCATCATCATCTTTGACTTCTGTTGAATCTATATCAGTGAATGACACATTGATGGATTCCATTACACTTTGAGTTCTGAGATTGTAAACTCGAAATGCCCTGCTGTTAGTAGAGTAAACCTTGATCACCTTTGATGTCGAATTTCCCCAACTGTTCTCAGTCTCTTAAGATATAACATGTGCTGCCAAATATGTGTATGTGTTTGAGGTTGGGAGTTTTTCCTTTCCATATTTGGTATGGTGTCATATTTATCTCTTTCCGTATGTATACCCGGTTGATTAGATAACAGGCTGTACGTACAGCTTCAGCCCAAAACTTTTGAGGAATCCTTTTGTGATTTAGCAATACCCTTGCCATTTCTTGTATAGTTCTATTTTTCCGTTCCACTATTCCATTTTGCTGTGGTGTTTTAGGGGCTGAAAATTCGTGGTGTATTCCTTTTTCTTCGCAAAAATCTTTGAAGTACGAATTTTCGAATTCTCTTCCATGATCACTTCTTAACCGTAAGATTTTTCCTATTTTTCCTTCTTTTTCAGTTTCAATTTTATTGATGAGAATTTTGAAGCTTTTGAAGGTATCCGATTTTTCTCTGAGGAACATGACCCATGTAAAACGTGAGTAATCGTCTACTGTTACATGTACGTACCGTTTTCCTCCTATGCTTTCAACTTGAGTTGGACCAAAAAGATCCATGTGCAGGAGTTCCATAATTCTTGTGGTGTGGATTCCTGATATCTTCTTGTGGGTTTTTCTTGTTAGTTTGTTCTCAAGACATGTTCCACAGGCTTTGTTTTCGTTTATTTCCAGTTGTCGTGGTAAGCCTCGATATGCCCCTATTTTTATCCCTTTTTTCATGTCATGGAAGTTTATGTGTCCCATTCGTTGATGCCAAATTTGTGCTTCAGTTTCTTTGGAAAGATGACAAGTAAGTTGGTTTGTCCAGACGTAGCATTTGTCTGATGATCTATTTCCTTGCATCACACATTGATTGTTTTGGTCATATACATGGCAACGGTCTTTGGAGAATTTTACTTGTAGATTATCATCGCATAGTTGACTAATACTGATTAGGTTTGCCTTAAGTCCTTTTACCAAGAAGACTTGAGTAAGTTGTGGTAAACCGGTTACATTTAATGTTCCGCTTCCAATAATTTGGCTTTTTCCTCCATCTCCAAATGTAACATGTCCTCCTTCTTTTGGTAGTATGTTGATCAGATGTTCTGATTTCCCAGTCATGTGACGTGAGCATCCACTATCAAAGTACCAGATTTCGGTATTCTTTTCTGTTTTGGAGGTGAGGGCAACTGTTTGTGTTTGATTTTTCCTGACCCATACCTTTCTGGTTTGTGATTGTCTCCTCATAATATAATTTTGTCTAAACCAGCAGTGTGCTTTAATATGACCTGGTTTGTGGCAATAATAGCACCTGATCCTTCGATGTTGGAAACGTTGTTGAAACATCTCTGGATTTTATGATTGTCTTTCATCAGTATATTCAGTTTCCTGGGAGTTTTCTCTCTGGAATTTTTCTTTCTCTATAAGATCTTTTTCTTTTTCTTGAAGTTTCTTCAGTTCCTTTTTTTGTTTCCTGATGATCTCGTATTTCTCTTTCCTTTTCAGTTTGTAAATCACGGTTCTTTTGCATGAGCTCCGTATTAACCCTAATAAGTTCTTGCCATTTTGATTGTAATACTGTGTATGCTTCGAATAACCCTTGAATGTCCTCTTGGGTAGTGTCTTCCTCTTCTTGTCTAGTGGTGAAAGCAACGAAATTTGAATTTTCATTTTCGCTGTCAGAGTCATCACTAAGTGTGGTGACGTAGGTTTTGTTCTTCCTTTTCAGGTACGTCGCACATTCTGATTGGATGTGTCCGTATCCTTTGCATTCGTAGCATTGTATCCCATCGATGTTTTGGGAAGATTTCCCCTTTTTCTGGTTCTCAAATATGCGTGGTTGTGAATTTGAGTTGTTTCCATTGGTGTTTGTGAAGTTCATGTTTTTACTTCTGAACTTGTTGAATTTCTTAACCACTTTATTGAAATTCTTAGTGAGAAGAGCAATGGTTTCTTCTATGTTCTGTGTGTCATCATCTGAATCGGTAGACTGTGTAGTTTGTAGTGCAATTCCTTTGCTTGACATGTTTGGTTTTCTTTGAAGCATCTCAAGTTCGTATGTTTGCAAGTTTCCCATCAGGTCACTAAGTTTGTATGTGTCTAGGTTTGTGCTTTCTTGTATGGCAGTGACTTTCATGAGGAACCTTTCAGGTAAAGATCTGAGTACCTTTTTGACCAATTTTGGTTCGGAAAAGGGTTCTCCTAAATTATATGCTGCTCCGGCTATGTCGAGGATCTTTGCATTGAATTGTGTGATATTTTCGTTTTCCTCCATTTTCAAGGTTTCAAATTGAGTCTGGATCATCTGTAGTTTTGATTGTTTGACAATAGTATTGCCTTCATGATGATTGCATAAGATTGTCCAGGCTTCTTTGGCTATTTCAGTATTTGATATTAGTTTGAATGTTTCTTCACTTACTGCTCCATAAATAGAGTTCATGACTTTTGAATTAAAGTCAGCTTCTTTGATTTCTTCCTCAGACCACTCCCTTTTAAGTTTCTTTTCTCCTTGTTCATTGGTAGGTGGCACCCACCCTTCTTCTACTGATCTCCATACTCTTTCACCTTGGGACATAATATATACTCTCATTCTAGCCTTCCAATAAGAGTAATTTGCACTGTTTAAAGCTGGGGGTCTGCTGCTTGATAAACCTTCTTTGGGAAAATCCATTGTGTTGTTCCTTTGGGTGGTGTAGGATCCTGCTAGTAGTTTTAGCAGCCCGCTCTGATACCAATTGAAAAAATATAAGGAGCAACACACACAGTAATGTTGTAACGTATGTTTGTAACACCAGGAAATTGTAACGCAGTTTGGGCGAAAACCCTAATCTGCGAGGCACTTCTCAAATTGAGAATTAGCCTAAATTCACTATGAGCAATTTCAAAAATACAGAGTATAGGAAGAAGAAAACTTTACACAATAGATCTCACAAACTCTCATAATCTATTGTAACCTAAACTCTCGTACTACTCCAAAGTGATAGACTCTCTTTCTCTCAATATATCTGTATGCACTCGGTCAGATGATTCGGGTAAAATCGCTGCATCTATTCTTCTAAGAGTCTTTCTTAAATAGGTGATACTTGATCACAATCCTAGTTGAAGTATAAGTCCCAATTAGATTAGGATTTGAATGATGCTTGTAGTTTGACTGGGAGACAATTGAATCCTGACTGGGAGACAATTGAATCTGTGTTTTCAATTATCCTTTTTGCCAATAATATTTTTGACAATTCTTTATTCAACACTTCTGATGTAGTCCGACCTTGACATGGCCTCCGGCTAGTAGCTCTCCAAGGAGATTAACCACCTTGACCTCCTCTGCCGCTCCGGCGTCCTCCGACAGTCCACATCTATTGTCCTTTCACACCCTAGGATGAAGTGGAAGTCAACCCATTTTTGCCTGGTTTTCCAGCGCCCTTAGCAGATTCGTCCGTTCCCATGGCATATAATTTTCCGATAGAGATTAGAGAATGAATACAAGGAAAGGGAGAAAGACGGTGAATGACTATTTTACCCCTCAAACTAACATCCACTTTAACTTTCAACTAACGGAAGGACCTATATTGGAAAGATTTCGAAAGTCGAGTGTCTAAATTGTCCAAATTAAAAGTCGGGGACTAATTGTGGAAAATCAACATAGTCGGAGGACCATTGCTGGAATTAACTCTTATTGGAAAGACTACTCTAACGAGAAATGTGTATGAAAATCATCATTTGCATACTTGCATCGTGTTTCGATGTAAGAGGTTAGGTTATTATTCTCCTCAACACTAGAATAAGAGACAAATGTTAAGAAAACTTCTTTAGTCAATTAAGCTAGAGGAGCCAAGTGTATTTAAAAAGGGAAACACTCTAGATGAACTAGAAATGTAGATATGCAAATACTTACATGGCAGGAAATATCTAATTGTTTTGGACAACATTATGAGCCGTCAAGCATGGACTGACATCAGAAAGTGTGTGGTGTCAAAGTTGGAAGTTGCATATTACTAACCACTAGACACTTCAACTAATAGCCTACTGAAACAGGTATCTCCATCACGTGACTTTGCAAGATCCAAAAGAAAGCTTTGAACTAATTTGTAATATCATTTCTATTGAAAAGCACTTGGTCCTAAATTTGAAAAAAATAAATAAATAGGAAACATGTTGTAGAGAAATGTGATGGATCACCGCACTTAATCGTTGAAGTTGCAAAACGTTTATCTAAATGTAATGACATACAACAAGGTGTGACAACCCAAAATTTAATTTTATAAATTCGATTTTAAGAAATTCCGAAATACCCGTTTTCACTCCGTAAAATTTTTTGCGATGAAATCGGTGTTGAATAAATTATTTTGAGCCACTTTTAAGTAAATTCAACACAGACACTTATTTTAAATCTAAAATCCTAGATTTTCGGGTACATGCGTACCAAGTTTTTTATCCAAAAGTCAATCTGAGTGAAACCGGTAAGGAACCTGTGAAACCTGAACTTTTAATTAGAACTATCTTTTAGGAAATCTATTTTGACCCTAAACTATTTTAAATTCTCCTTTCTAGTCTATGGTCCATGATGCAAGATGAACCATAAGCTTTATCAAAACTTTGTCTGATCTTTTGGAAGCCAAGCTAAAATTACTCCTTTGCCCTCTACCAATCATTGAAGATTATCTTAGGGTTTTGAGCCATATAAATAAAACAATAGCCTCATTTTCTTACCTGATCTCATTCCCTTGCCTCTCCCAATAGTGTCTGATAGAAGAAGAAAGCTCTCAGTAAGCTTCATCCTCCATCTTTCTCTCCTTCACTTGCTTCTAGTTTTATTTTTTTGGCTTCCATTCTCTGAGGTTCTTAGGCCTAGCATGTATTGTTGTTTGGGATGTTTAGGTGGTGAAGGAAGTGGTGGAAGTTGAGTGGAGAGGAGGCTGAGATCCACACAAGAGGAGGAAACAACAAAGGTATAACCCCATGGACTCCCATTTTAAGTTTTGGCTCTGTGAAACCATTGTTTTATAAGTAGAAATGAGTATAAATGCTAGATTTTGAAGTGTTTGAGCCATTAAGTGATCTATTACTTGTCTATGATGTGTTGTTGATGATTTGGGAGTGTTTGGTTGCCTGTTTTTGTCTTGCAAATGAAGGAGAAACTCACTGTTGCACAAATCAGTGTGCACCAGATGAGACACAGGACTAGCCAACGGCCTTAGGCAGGGACCATTGGCAATTCCCGTGGAGGAGCGGCCCTAGGGCACGACTCCAGGTTAGAGCCGTGGCCCTAGGCCGTTGCCGAGGTGGTCCCAAGCAGCGGGGCTCCTCTAGCCCCGCCGTAAGCCTCGTTGATGTTGCCATGTGCAGTGGCCGGGCCCTTGTGGCTCAGCTACGTGTCGTTTCGAAATGGGTGTCACGGGCCTTTGTGGCTCGGTACCTTGGGGCCGTCATGACGCACGTTTAGCCTTTGATTTCGTTGAATTTGGAGTAGGAATGAGCATTTTGTATTAGAATTTGTGAAGAAGAATGTTGCAGAGAATTGTTCTAAAGGTTTACAGTGAAGAAATTGCTAAGTGTTGTTTTGGTTATTTATTTGAGAAGCATGAGAATTATATGAGTGTTAGATAATGGAATATGATCAATAATTGTTAAGTTTTGTTAGAAAAACATGCCTTAGGTATATGTTATGATTCATAGAGATTATTGTCAAATTCCAAGTATTGAAGTCTACAGAGCATGTTATTCTTAAATGTTTTTATCCAGAGGATGAGTTTAAATTGAGAAATTTGAGTTCCAAATGCATGAGAATTATTTGCTATTATTTGTCAGATTATAAATTTCAAACCTGATTATGTGTCCTTTGAGAGTTCACAGTAATTTATGGAATTGAAGCATGTTGCACAGTAATTTACATTCTAAGCATATCATGTTTTAAAAGTGCATAAGTGGCCAACGTGAGCCTAATTATTTTCCAAAACTCATGAGCATGTGGAAAGTCTTTATCTTGTTGCATTGAGAAGTTGTTGGGATGTGACATGCATAAGTTTGGTGCATAATATATATATATATATATATATATATATATATGTGATGTTTTGGAAGACACGTTGGGACTTTGTCCTTTCGGAGTAAAAGAGAAAGTAACGGATATTGCGATCCGACAGATTTATCATGTAACGCGGTGTATTCCCACGTTACGAGGTTGGAGACTGCCCACCAGGCTTGGAATCCTGCTTAGGGGGTGTGCACACTAAGAGTACAATACCTGATTCCACAGAGTATGAGTATTGGAACCACGAGATTGGTTCTGTGGGCGAGTTGAGTATGTGGCCGGCTAGATTGCCGAGCCGGTTAGGTCCATTCACGATTCGTGAAGACCTACCTCCCCACGAGTAAGAGGTTCCGTAGTTACGGATGTGGCGGATGCACGAGATTGCACCGTACGCTAGGGCTTCGCTGCGGCGGAGTACTTGCCTCGCACAAGAAGAGAAATGAGAAGTATGAGAAAGTTTGAGTAAGAAAGATATCGAGTCAAGAGACTCACGAGAAAGAAAGTGAGTCTTCGTGACTCTAAGAGACCTCCACAGAAACTATTCTATTTTACAAACGAGTGTTTGATCGAGTATACTTATAGTTCGTGACTCTAAGAGACCTCCACAGAAAGTATTCTATTTTACAAACGAGTGTTTGATCGAGTATACTTATAGTATTGCACGGGATTGCATTTGAGTATAGTATTGGACTAGATTGCATAATGAGAATGATTAACCGAGATTGTATATCGAGCATGATTGCTTTATTTACATTTTGATGTCTTACATATTTGACGGGTGAGAAGTGACGAAAGTACCAAGGTAGCCTCCAATGACCGTTGCTATCTTTTCAGACATGAAACCTATTAGAAGTTGGTGAACCTGCACCCAGAAAGTAGCTGTATCCAAAACCATCGCTCCCAGGTTTTCTTCTGGGAAAAGACGCTTAATAACAACCAAATTTTGGTCGAAGGACCATGGCCCATCTTCTAGAACATGCAAAATATCCTGCTCAAGATAGAACTGGAAGATGCAGCGACCCTGGCCAATATCTTTTATGCTAACCCCTCGATAAGGACGCCAAATACTGGAGATGACATCCCGAAAAGTAGGAAAACGGACTGGACAGTCAGTAACAACACGCCCAACCGCAGCAAACCACATATCAATAGTGGAAAAAAAGACGGAAAAACAGGGAAAGCCCTAAGAAACTGGAACAAAAAGAAAACAAGGGAAGAACCATAGGGAAAACTCGTATAAGAAACGAGAGTGAATTTGTTTTAATGATAGTTACAGTAACGTCTAATGACTTCTAATGCTTTATGTGACTTCTAATGACTTGATTTGCATTTGCTTTATATATACCAACACAAATGATATTAAGATATATCCACTGCTGGAAATTCGTCTTTTTCCGACCACTCAAAAAATTGGTCGCGAAAAGTGACTTTTTTTCATTTTTTCGACAAAGGGTTACAGTGGTCGGAATTTTCGACCAATTTTCTTAAGTGGTCGGCATTTCAAACCACTATTTACATGGTGATCGAAAACTTTTCCCCAAATTTAAATTTTTTTCTCCCAAACACAATACGTCGTCGCTTAACCTCAAAAAGAAAACATACTTCGCACGCCTTCACTCAGCCCAAACATAAAACAGACTATGCACGCCGTCGCTCAGCAGAACCAAACACTTCCCACCTCTGCACGCTGTCATTCCCGCTCCTGCCTCCGCCGTATCTCAGACTTCTCTTCGTCGTCGCTCCCAACTCCGCCACTGTCTAAGCCTTCTCTTCGCCGTCGTCGCTCCCAACTCCTCTGATGTCTCAGCCTGCACCAAAGTTTATACCGTTGTCGCCTCTTCCCGACTCTACCGGGTCTCCATCACCATCCTACATGTTAGTCCTCTAATCTTAGACCATAATCTTTAATTTCCTAATTCTATTAAGCAGACCTGTGGCTACTTCCTAGAAGCGGCGTGAGCATATCAACGTGAGGTATTTTCTTTTCTCTTCTATCATTTTAGGGTTTAGGAACTTTTCTGTGACATACATATAATTTTTGAGCTGAATGGAGTTTTATGCTTTAATCTTATTATTTCAGTCTACTGTGGATGAGGAGATAAGATAACCACCAATTTCAATCACTCATTTCAAAATGTAATTCACAAAATACCCAGGTTTATTTCGGCATACCAATTCTGTTATAATAATATTATTATTATAATTGTTAAACCAAGGCTTAATTAGTTTGTTAGAAAATAATTAATAAGTGGGCAGCATGGCTTTGCACTTCGTGGAGTGTGAAGCACTTTATGAAGACATGGAGTATTTCATGGGCATAGCATGAAGCAGTACATGGAGTCATGATGTATTACATAGGCTTAATTTTAGGATTTAGTTTCTTTCATTCCCTATAAATAGTTGGCAAATGTATGCTAAAGTCGTCAAGCAAAAAAAAAACATTTTATTCTATTCCTATCTCTCTCTTCCTCTCAAGTATATATACATATATATACGTATATAGATATATTATATATAATATATATATCTTATATAGATATATTATTATTTAATATATCTTACATTTGGTATCAGAGCCAGTCAATTCAACCTTTCAACCCCGAAATATTTCCCGTAGTGAAATATGGCAACAAATTTCAATATTGTATGGTCGGGTCCCAAATTGGACGGGAAACTCGATTACAATTATTGGCAAATTATGATGTCCACACATTTGCAAGCTCAAAATCTTTGGAGCTTTGTTGATCCCGGTCTACCCGAAGGAGCTGATACAGCCGCTATACGGCGAGATAAATTGGCCTTGGGTCAGATTCACCAAGGTGTTAATTATTCCATTTTTGGGCAATTAGCTCGTGCTCAAACAGCAAAACAAGCTTGGGACATCTTAAAGGTGTCACACAAAGGAGTTGATCGGGCGCAGAAGTCTAAGTTGCAGTCGTTGAGAAGGTTGTACGATAATTGTGAGATGACCTCTACAGAAACAGTAGATATGTATTTCACTCATCTTATTGGTATGGTGAATAAGATGAGGTTATACGGAGATACAATTGAAGATGGTGCAGTGTTTGAAAAAGTTCTTCAAACTATGCCGATGAAGTATGACCATGTGGTGGCTTCAATCACAGAGTCACACAAAACCGAGCTCTTATCAATTGCAGAGCTGAAAGGTATGGTAGAAAGTCATATTGACAGGATTGCGTCAAAATCGGAACCACTAGCAGAAGAAGCTTTGAAGAGTCAAGTCACCCTTAATGTGACTGGCACTAATCAAAGAGGTGGAGGATCTGGTAGAGGTCGTGGAAGAGGAAGAGGAGGTTCTAGTGGAGGAGGTCGTGGTAACTCCAACCAAGGAAGAGGTGGAGGTAATACCAAACAAGGTAAATTTCCATTTCATTGCTACAATTGTGGCAAGTATGGGCACAAGATTGCAGATTGTTGGTATAATGAGGACAACAATCGTGGAAATCAAGCAAACATTGCTGAAAACACTGCTGAAAAGTCTGGTGAGAGTTCTGAAACTTTACTTTTAGCCAGCGATAGTTTTTCTGCAGATAAAAACATATGGTTCTTGGATACTGGGTGTAGTAACCATATGTGTGGTAAGAAAGAATTGTTTTCTGAACTGGATGAATCAATTCGGTCTGAAGTGACATTTGGCAATAAGTCAAAGGTGCCAATTTTGGGAAAAGGTAAAATCTCTATTCAGTTGAAGGATGGTACTCAAAATTTTATATCCGATGTGTTCTATGTTCCTGAACTAGACCAAAATTTGTTGAGTATGGGTCAGCTGTCAGAAAAAGGATATAAGATACATATTGCTCAGGGGTGTTGTACCATTGAAGATGCTAAAGGAGTTTTGATTGCAAAGGTAAATATGTCCCAAAATCGACTATTTCCTTTGAAAATTAAGCATACTCTCCTTGATTGCTTTAATTCTGAAGTTTGTGATGATAATTGGTTATGGCATATGCGGTTTGGGCATTTTCATTTCTCTGGGTTAAACTATCTTGCGAGAAAGGAACTTGTTTCTGATTTACCTGTTGTGAATGTCCCTGATCGTATATGTGAGATTTGTGTGATTGGGAAGAAGCATAGAGATCCCTTTCCCGTGGGCAAGTCAAGGAGAGCTACAAAACAGTTGGAGATTATTCACTCAGACCTATGTTCGTTGGAGGTTCCCTCACATGGAGGTTGTAAGTACTTTATTACTTTCATTGATGATTTCAGTAAGAAAACATGGGTTTACTTTCTGAAGCAAAAGTCTGAAGCATGTGATGTTTTCAAACAATTTAAGGCTTTTGTTGAAAAGCAAAGTGGTTATGAAGTTAAAATCTTGAGAACTGATAGAGGTACAGAATATATTGCTTGTGATAATTTTCTGAAAGAAAAGGGTATTCAGCACCAAATGACAGCTAGATACACTCCACAACAAAACGGAGTGGCTGAGAGGAAGAATAGGTCAATCATGGATATGGTGAGGTGCATGTTGAAATCCAAGGATCTGCCTAAACCTTTTTGGGCAGAAGCTGTTGCTTGTGCTGTCTATGTGTTGAATAGGTGTCCAACTAAGAGTGTCCATGATAAGACGCCCGAAGAAGCTTGGAGTGGGAGAAAACCCTCTATCAAATATCTCAAGGTTTTTGGATGTTTGGCATATGCCCACGTGCCGGATCCATTGAGAAAGAAGTTGGATGATAAAGGTGAGAAATGCATATTCATTGGTTATAGTGACGCTTCAAAGACTTATAAACTATACAATCCTGAAACTAAGAAGGTTGTTATAAGTCGTGATGTCACTTTTGATGAATATGGTGCCTGGGATTGGTTAGCTAAAGATGAAAGTTCAGTTGTTATTCCTGCTGTTGAAAATATTGTTGAAGAGCAACCGATTCCAGATAATGTCCAGTCTCCTTCACAGCCAGAGTCGTCAGTTCGGCGATCTCAGCACGAGCACCACTTACCAGCTCGCTTGCAAGATTATGTTTTGGGTCATGATAATGACCTGTCTGATGAAGAGATTATTCAATTTGCTCTCTTTGCAGATTGTGATCCTTTAACTTTTGAGGAGGCTACTACAGAAACTCATTGGCTTAAGGCGATGGATGAGGAGATACGTGCCATTGAAAAGAATGGTACCTGGGAGTTAATAGATTTACCTCCTGGGAAGAAGCCAATTGGAGTAAAGTTGGTTTACAAAACGAAATACAAGTCAGTATATCCAACTTGAAGACGGAGACATTTTTCAAATTGAAGAAGGAAATTGGAATGACCAATATATCCAACTTGGTTTAAAGGAGGCAATGTTATAATAATATTATTATTATAATTGTTAAACCAAGGCTTAATTAGTTTGTTAGAAAATAATTAATAAGTGGGCAGCATGGCTTTGCACTTCGTGGAGTGTGAAGCACTTTATGAAGACATGGAGTATTTCATGGGCATAGCATGAAGCAGTACATGGAGTCATGATGTATTACATAGGCTTAATTTTAGGATTTAGTTTCTTTCATTTCCTATAAATAGTTGGCAAATGTATGCTAAAGTTGTCAAGCAAAAAAAAACATTTTATTCTATTCCTATCTCTCTCTTCCTCTCAAGTATATATACATATATATATACGTATATAGATATATTATATATAATATATATATCTTATATAGATATATTATTATTTAATATATCTTACAAATTCTGATTCAGTATAGTGTTACTGTATAAATTAATATTTGTGTGTGAATTTCTATAGGTGAGGCCGAAAGACAAAAAGAAGGGGAGAAGTTACATGTTTTGGCATAGCCATGTTCACCACCGTGGCTTCTCTCTGCGTCGCCGGTCGGTGAGTTATATGCCTTAGCTTTGGAGTTTTAAATCTGATAAGTACTAAAATGTGTCACTTTTAGGGGTTAATTAAGAGCCATATTTTGCTTAATTAGAGTCCTTTAGGCCCATTATGTGCTTAGAATAGATTAATTTGATTAAAGTTAGGCACAAGGACTAGTTTTGACTTTTGATTACATTTGTTGTAAATAGCAAAATACTGACAATTTTAGCTCATTTAGGCGACAATTTGGAAGAAAATTCATAACTGAAGCTGGGAGTGTTAGATCGAGGTGATTCAGGTGGCCATGGATCGGCATCGAAAATATCTACAACTTTCGTGAAGACGATGAAGGCTAATTCGGACATCTCGGCGGTCAAAATCAGCGATGATCGCGTCAGAATTCCCAATCACGCCCACTGTCACGGAATGAGGGCATGTGAATGGGAATTAAAAGGGGAGTGGCGTGGTTTTTAGGCTAGAAATGAGATCTGAAAATTATTCGTCATCATTCACTTGGTAATCTTCATCTCTCTAGAATTTTAGGGTTAGAGGAGGATTCTAGGGAGAGAAGTTAGATCTACAATAACAAACATCTATTTTCACTAGATTTGGCTAGAAGAGTTGGAGATTGAAGGCATTTGGCAACGGATCTCCATCATTTGCTTGTATTTGACGGATCTAATCTTCCATTTGGGTAAAATCTTTCCTTGCTCTTCATTGATCACATCTATATTTACCCTTATGTTGATTTAGATTTCATTATGCTTGGCTAAATCTAGTGGGTAGGATTGTGGTGTAGATTTGTATTGTGATGATGATTTAACTTGTGAATATTGTGGCTTTTGATTGATTGTTGATTATGTAGATGTCTTGTTGTTGAGGATGATCTTTGTGACATTCTTGGAGTGGGCCCAACTCCATGGATGATGTTAGAAACCTAGATCTAGGCAAGAGATTGCTAGATCCGGGTAGCCTTGATCCTCTTCATTTCCCGTCTTCGATCCGAGAGGGCAAGACCCGAAAAGAAGTGAGTGCAAAGTGTTTTCTTAAATGCCCCGTAGAGAATAAGAATTCCTACGGGTTGCGTTAGACCGAATCGGCTAACGTATTCGCAATCCACTTCTCTTGACTAGTAACGCACAATCAAATTGCCACAAATCTCCCATTTCGGGAATTACCAATCACACAATGCAATCGAAACCCAATCCTAACCGCCTTTTTCTCTCTAAGTAATCCCTACTCCCGCTTAGTTTTAATCTAGTCTTATTACCTTCTTTGCTATGATCTTCCCCGCACACTCTTGCCCATACACCACTTACACTCCTTGCACCCAGTTTTCTCTTGAAATGCACTTGTGACATATGATTGTTTTGCACTTACTTACTCCGCATTGCCATCCTTGAATATGACACTCGGGGTGGTTCTCACTCAACCAGTTCTAACTCTTTTCATCTCTATCCATACACGACCATACACATTTAATCTTTTGACGACGCTCCTAAAAGAGAACCGTAAGCGAAGAGCGTCCGGTCAAAATCCCTCCGAATTCGTTAATTAATTGCCTCATAAATCAAACGCACCTCACTGCTGGATTTAATTTTTTTCGAGCTGAATTGCTGGATCTAGGAAAGCTTAAGTGTCCAGTTATTTTTTTTGTTTTTATGTTTATAAACTTAAATGCTTTAATTCATTTGATTGTCAATCTCACATTCTCACCTTCACTCAATTTCACAGTTGTACGTGCAGAAAGTTAACTGGATAAACATTATTATTGTTTTTTATTTTTTTTTGTGGAGCAGTTTATAGATAGATGCGGAAAACAGAGTTTACTTCACAAAAGAGCTTGATAGGATAACTGGTCAGGTATCTACATTTTCGTAGTCGTTCTTTCCGAGAAGATGGATTTTCTCATGAGCTAATTTGCATTGACATGATTGCTGGTTTCTTGAAATGATATTTCTTATGGGATTGTCTGTGTTTGTATACTTTTCTCCACTGTAAATTATGAAGAATCGCTTGTGGATGAAATCATATTATCTCTTGTTATTCTTTGAAAATATATGATAGTAAAAAGCAATAACTTTCACAGTTTTGGATGGTAAAATTATGTGATGATTATTATTTATAAATAGTCGAAGGAAAAAAGTGTGATATACATGCTAGCATCTATGGGCTGAGTCGATGGAGAAAAGTATCACCTTATGAAAAGGTCATGATAATTCCTGTTGATTTCTCAAATATGTCTACTTTATCTAAATTTGGTTTCCTTGAAGAACTATGAGCTTGCAAGTTAGTTTAGTGAAGTTTTAATATTGCAAAGAGTGAATTGTTTTCTATAATTCTGTGCAGATGCTTTAGGGATTACACTTGCAGCATATATGGACAACCCTTGTGTATATGTTGGGTGTATGAAATCAGGAGCAGTTTTTTCTGAGCAGTAAGTTGACAGGAAAATTTGCTCAGTAATTAATGTTTAGAATCTTAGCATCTGCATAAGTGTTTGATCTCATCTGTGATTCTTTTTAATAAATATTTAAAGACTTGCCCCATCAGGGGCCATAAATGGTATGAACCAGATTGGTGGAAATTTGGTGATGGAAAATCGTAAGCCACAATTTGACACTATTGTCTGTTGAATTTCCATTTGGCAGCCAACTGTAATGCCATTTGTGATTATTCTCTGTTCTATATCCTTGTTGGATTTGTGTAAAATTTTTGCAGGATATATTACTCAAATTAGATATTAGTTTGGGCAATATCTTCTTGAGCAAATGGTTCTTGATTCAACATATCTAACTTTCTTTCCCTCTGAGCATTGCAGAAATGAATTTGACTTGTTCTAAATTTTCAATTGTATATTCATGAATGAATTATCTTGAAGTATATGAAATGTGTATACGTTTTTCAGCAAATATCTTAATAACTTGCAACAATATATATATATATATATATATATATATATATATATATATATATATATATATCATTTCACTACAGAGAGATTCTTCTCTGCAGTGAAATGAATTTTTTTATTGACTACGTCAAGTTTTCCGACCACAAATTCGGACATGCATGTCTATTTTACTGGTCGTTTTTTCCCGACGGCCATAGAAAAAAGGTCGATATTTCCAACCACTTCTCCGATTGTTAGAAATAGAGAAGAGGGTTTTTCCGGATATCCAAATTAGTCGGAAAAGTGGTCGAAACATTCGTTTTCGACCTAATTAAGGAAATTTCTGACCACTTTCTGGTGGTCCACTTTCTAGTGGTCGGAAATCTGTTGATTTCCAGTAGTGATATCATGCAAAGAATCCATGTGATAGCTAATATTTTGACAAAAATATATATATATTTTTGATCCATGGGTACTAATGTACTATTAAGCAGTAGCGATATAATAATTTAAATCAACTGGATACCAGTGGACTACAAGCCACTTGGTTCACATAAGATATTTTGATCATATGACATACTGTATTACGTACTAATTAATTTGTAATGATTAATTAAGCAATTAATGTGGTAAATCCCATCGGGGGTATATGTATTCGTATGTTACTGAGTGACGTATTTGAAAATGGTAGCTCGGGTTGCAAAGTCCGAGGGTTTGAGGTTCCCGAGCGCCGGCCGAGCGGGCTAGAGAGAGAGAGAGAAAGAGAGAGAGAGAGAGTTGAAAATCCCTCTCATAAGCGTCTAGCGAGGTATTTATAGGCCAGAGGAGTATCACATGTGTCTCTCATGCACCCCACCACTACAAAAAAAAACACTTTTAACGTCGGTTATTTTAGCCATACGACGTTGGTTATTTTTCTAACGTGGTTACCGCAGACGTTATAAATAAATTATACGATGTCGGTTTTTCAGACCGACGTCGTATATTATTTTTTTAATTTTAAAAATAAATACGACGTTGATTTTTTCTAAAAAACGACGTTGTATCTTTTTAATTTTTTTTAAAAAATATAATACGACGTCGGTGTTTTACAAAACACCGACGTCGTATCTATTTTTTAGATTAAAAAAAATTCAAAATATTTTTTTTATTGACTACGTCAAGTTTTCCGACCACAGATTCGGACATGCCTGTCTATTCTACTGGTCGTTTTTTTCACGACGGCCTTAGAAAAATGGTCGCTATTTCCAACCACTTCTTCGATTGTCGAAAATAGCAAAGAGGATTTTTCCGGATATCCAAATTGGTCGGAAAAGTGGTCGGAACATGCGTTTTCGACCTAATTAAGGAAATTTCCGACCACATTCTGATGGTCGAAAATCTGGATTTCCAGTAGTGATATCATGCAAAGAATTCATGTGATAGCTAATATTTTGACAAAAAAAAAAATTATGTTTTTGAACCATGGGTACTATTAAGCAGTAGCGATATAACCATTTAAACGCCACACTGAGGCTTAAAACCTAGACCTCCCGCATAAGGGAGCAACCGGATACCAGTGGACTACAAGTCACTTGGTTCACATAAGATATTTTGAGCATATGACATACTGTATTACTAATTTGTAATGATTAATTAAGTAATTAATGCGGTAAATCCCACAGGGTATATGTATTCGTATGTTACTGAGTAACGTATTTGAAAATGGTAGCTCGTGTTACAAAGTCTGAGGGTTGGAGGTTCCCGAGCGCCGACCGAGCTTATAAGGGCTCTAGAGAGAGAGCTGAAAATCCCTCTTATAAGCGTCTAGCGAGGTATTTATAGACAAGAGAAGGAGTGTGACATGTGTCTCTCATGCACCACACTACTACATAAAACACTTTTAACGTCAGTTATTTTAGCCATAAGACGTCGGTTATTTTTCTGACATGGTTACCACAGACATTATAAATAAATTATACGACGTCGTTTTGAAAAACCGACGTCGTATATTATTTTTTTAGTTTAAAGAATAGATACAACGTCGGGTTTTTCTAAAAAACGACGTTGTATCTTTTTAATTTTTTTAAAAAAAGTATAATACGACGTCGGTGTTTTACAAAACACCGACGTCGTATCTAATCTTTTAGATTAAAAAAAAATTCGAAATATTTTTTTTATTGACTACGTCAAGTTTCCCAACCACAAATTCGGACATGCGTGTCTATTTTACAAGTCATTTTTTTCCCGACGGCCTTAGAAAAATGGTTATTATTTCCAACCACTTCTTTGGTTGTCGAAGATAGCGAAGAGGGTTTTTTCGGATATCCAAATTGGTCGGAAAAATGGTCGGATCATGCGTTTTCGACCTAATTAAGGAAGTTTCCGACCACATTCTGATGGTCGAAAATCTGGATTTCCAGTAGTGATATCATGCAAAGAATTCATGTGATAGCTAATATTTTGACAAAAAAACAAAAAAATTATGTTTTTGAACCATGGGTACTATTAAGCAGTAGCGATATAATCATTTAAATTCACATAAGATTTTTTTTTTTATTACAAAGGAAGGGAGATACTCATACAATCTACGCCGCACTGAGTCTTAAAACCTAGACCTCCCACATAAGGGAGCAACCGGATACCAGTGGACTACAAGCCACATGGTTCACATAAGATATTTTGATCATATGACATACTGTATTACTAATTTGTATTGATTAATTAAGTAATTAATGTGGTAAATCCCACCCGGTATATGTATTCGTATGTTACTGAGTGACGTATTTGAAAATGGTAGCTCGGGTTACAAAGTCCGAGGGCTGGAGGTTCCCGAGCGCCGGCCGAGCTTATAAGGACTCTAGAGGGAGAGAGAGCTGAAAATCCCTCTCATAAGTGTCTAGCGAGGTATTTATAGGCAAGAGAAGGAGTGTGACATGTGTCTCTCTTGCACCCCACAACTACAAAAAATACTTTTAACGTCGGTTATTTTAGCCATACGACGTCGGTTATTTTTCTGACGTGGTTACCGCAGACGTTATAAATAAATTATACGACGTCGGTTTGAAAAACCGACATCGTATATTATTATTTTTAATTTAAAAAATAGATACAACGTTGGTTTTTTCTAAAAAATGACGTTGTATCTTTTAATTTTTTTAAAAAAATATAATACGACGTCGGTGTTTTGTAAAACACCGACGTCGTATCTATTTTTTAGATTAAAATAAAATTCGAAATATTTTTTTGATTGACTACGTCATGTTTTTCGACCACAAATTTAGACATGCCTGTCTATTCTTCTGGTCGTTTTTTTTTTTCGACGGCCTTAGAAAAATAGTCGCTATTTCCAACCACTTCTCCGATTGTCGGAAATAGCGAAGAGGGTTTTTCCAGATATTCAAATTGGTCAGAAAAGAGGTTGGAACATGCGTTTTCAACCTAATTAAGGAAATTTTCGACCACTTTCTGGTGATCGAAAATCTGTTGATTTCCAGTAGTGATATCATGCAAAGAATTCATGTGAAAGCTAATATTTTGACAAATATATATATATATATATATATATATATATATATATATATATATATATATATATATATATATATATATATATATTTTTTTTTTTTTTTTTTTTTTTTTTTTTTGATCCATGGGTACTATTAAGTAGTAGCGATATACAATCTACGCCTACACTGAGGCTTAAAACTTAGACCTCCCACATCAGGGAACAACCGAATACCAATGGACTACAAGCCACTTGATTCACATATGACATTTTGATCATATGACATACTGTATTACTAATTTGTTATGATTAATTAAGTAATTAATGTGGTAAATCCCACCGGGTATATGTATTCGTATGTTACTGAGTGACGTATTTGAAAATGGTAGCACGGGTTAAAAAGCCCGAGGGTTGGAGGTTCCTGTGCTCCGGCCGAGCTTATAAGGGCTCTAGAGAGAGAGAGCTGAAAATCCATCTCATAAGTGTCTAGCGAGGTATTTATAGGCAAGAGGAGGAGTGTGACATGTGTCTCTCGTGCACCCCACTACTACAAAAAACACTTTTAACGTTGGTTATTTTAGCCATACGACGTCGGTTATTTTTCTAACGTGGTTACCGCAGACGTTATAAATAAATTATACGATGTTGATTTGAAAAATCGATGTCGTATATTATTTTTTTAATTTAAAAAATATATACGACGTTGGTTTTTTCTAAAAAAACTGTTGAGTTTGTCTCATATAGGGATTAGGAATATGAGTTTGTCTCATACTAGGAGTAGGAGTGAAACGAGCAGACCCTTTGTACAAGGATTAGATGCCTATAAATATATTGGTTGTATCCCTAAGGGGTTGTGTTACCACTATCACCATCACTATGAATAAGAGTATTGTTTCACTCCCGTGGACGTAGACATATTGCCTAACCACGTAAATCTTGTCTTCTTTACCCTTTACTGCCATTATTATTGTTTATTGTTTTTGTTAATCTCAACAAATTGGTATCAGAGCATAGTTGAGATGGCTAGTTCAAGTACAAAATTCGAGGTATCAAAGTTTGATGGTATAGGGAATTTTGGGTTATGGCGGTCTAGGGTAAAGGATTTGTTGGCATATCAGGGCCTTCTAAAAACCTTGAAGGCAGAAAAGCCAGCAAATCTGGAAGAGGCTGATTTGGGGGAGTTGAAGAAGCAGGAAGCTATGGATGTGGTACATGCTGATGACTCTTATTATAGTGAAGGTGATGTTCTAGCGGTAACTAGTAACAAGTTCGAACATTGTTTGGACTTGTTGGGCGTTTCTAGATGCTAGATGAGAAGGTGGTGAGGGGCGCTGTAGTTGGGCAGCGCGGATACCAGGAGGGGTCGTGGACCTGGT